GCACCAGTAGGTAGATCAAGATCACTTACTCAGTATATCCAGACAAATGCGCTCGACGGTTTCTCCCTCGCTGTTGGTACCGACACACTCGACACAGATGTACCTGGACACGCTGGGAATGGTGGCTATCGAGCCATTACCGCGCGGCAGTACAATGGCGTCCGGAGGCAGCGGCTGGCCACTCTGCGTCCTGAACACAACCGTGGGGATTGGATAGCCGCCGATCGGAATGCAGATCAAGTCCACGGCACCGCCTTCGTTGAGCGGCTGTCCCTTGTTGCTGCCGATCAGGCTGATTCGTGGCCGGTCTCCTGTGTGTGTGTGTGTGTGTGTGTGTGTGTGTGCGTGGGTCAACGTCGCAGAGAGATGCATACAGACATACATACATGTATAAGCATACAGTGATACAGACACAAACACAGATACAGACACAGACACAAACACACCGCTTCGCATGTGTACGGGCACAACCACACAACCAACATGTACCTCAGACCTCAGACCTCAGACCTGCCCATCGCGGTAGCGATGATAGCGAACAGCTATGTTAGACATAGCAACTTGTGCTGGAATTACACCATTCAACAGCTTGCACGGCTGATGAATTGACCGCCACTATTTTTAGCCTGGTATCCACCACACAGCTGTTTGAAGTGACTTTTTCTGGCCAGTGAATCCCTATTATTCATTTTTAGGGGTGAAACGATTAGTTCGAATATTCGAGTATTCGTTCGAAAATTTCAAACGAGCGAGTATTCGAAATTTTGCACTCGATCGTTTTTTTAAAATATTTTTTTAGGATTGGCATAGTATTTTTTTAAAACTTTTGTTGTACCGCTGGTCCACTGGTATGCATGCGTTATTCATGGCTTTGAGTCAGTATTTTAAGACTTGGACGATGCGTTCACCACGGCAAGTAACGTTCTGAGATATGAAAGTACTGATGAAAATCGTTACTTTACCCTCTGTACAAGACGTTGGCGACTTTTGTTCTATGTTCACAGATAATTTCTTCCGAATTGGTCGAGAACTTGCAAATCTGGCGCTTTTGAATTTTGATAAAATACTCGAAATAATCGGATACTCGATCGAATATTATGAACGAGTGATCGGTTGGTCAAAATAGATACTCGTTTCACCCCTATTCATTTTCCATTTTTTTTACGTACACACCCGCACATCAGCAAAGTTCTGCACTCGCAATACACTATTAGGATCATTGTGCCATGAGAAAAAGCATTTCATCTTGCACAACACCTACATGCCCTTTTATTTTCCATCGGTTGCCATTGTAGACAATGTGTACTTCCTCTACATCCACATCCACGGCAACATGCATTGTACTCGGCAGCTATGGGTAGAGCCTGGGCAACATGTGCGACCACGGTGATCAGCACACATGTAGCCATGGAAACGGATTTAAAGATTCAAATACTTCCGCTGCACGTATGAGATGCGACCGCTTCTGGCCTATCAAGAAGACCCTTCATCTCATGCTCACTATTGGCAACCTTACAGCGGTCCAGGAGATGTTGTATAAATAGAAAAATAAGAAGAACTTACGCTCCACACGAACGCAGATCTCCTCTGTATCAGAGCCGGCAGAGTTGGTGCCACGGCAAATGACGCAGAAATCTCGCAACACCTGTTCCAGCTCGAGGATAAGCGCATTGCCGATCCTCGTGATGGTGGTGGGGATCTGCTCGGACCCAGGTGCCTCCCAGGTCAGCGTGGGGTTTGGATTACCGTCGACGGGCTCGCAGCGCAGCGTCACGCTGTCGCCTTGCTGAACTGACTGACCTTGGTTGGAGCCTGTCAGCCTCACCACTGGGGGAATTTCTGTGCAGTGGTGCAGACAGACGGAATAACTGTGAAATCAAAGACAGTGGCTGATTTGCAAGCGACTGTGCTTGCGTGGATGGATTGTATGAGTAAAAGGAGAAGAATCGTGAGTGAAACGGAGATAGTGGGTGAAGGAGTCGACTCCATGCTGCTCTTATATCCATAGAACTATCTGGATAAGATCTAAAGAGCCGTTGCTCATACCGCGTCCAGGCATTGTAGACCCAAATACTACAGACCCAGATACTTCAGATCCGGGTACTACAGACGCGGATACTACATACCCGCGTACTACAGACCCGCTTACTACAGACCCGAACACTACAGACCCGGATACTATAGACCTGGATACTACAGACCCGGGCATTACTACAGACCCGGATACTACAGACCCGGGTACTACATGCACGGGTACTATAGACCCGGGTACTATAGATCCGGGTACTGGACCTGTAGGTTTCCTTACCATCTAGTTCGAGACATTCATCCGCCGTGTTGCTACCAATGATATTGGTGCCGACGCAGCGCACGCACAGGTCCTCCTGGAACGAGGGAAGCTGCAGCGTGATGGTGTTGGCGTTGATCTGCTGGGTGATGGCGTTCTGGGGCAGGGCACCGCCACCGACCACCTCCCAGCGCAGCTGCGGTGTGGGGATGCCCTGCTGGATGGTGCAGCTCAGCGTCACACCGCTGCCACGCGGCACCGGCTGGCCAGTGTTAGTGCCCGAGATGGATACGACCGGAGGCTCCGCTGCCGTGTAGGGGACAACAAAATAGCACGCAGAATTATATTGATGACCGGTAGCGTTATTATGCACAACATGGGGAGATTTAACGGTAAACCATCCAGAAATTAAAAAAAAGTCTTTGATGAGGTTATTATAGTGCAGCCACTGTACAGAGAAAGCATTTCTCTAGACTGCAGTCAAACATGTATTGTTATGACCACTATGTGTAAGTGTGGTGTGGTGATCATGATTGTGATCATGAGAGTTCCAGCTAAAACATTCAATCCTGCTTTATCATGTATGCTTCTGGGCATTGTGACACGCCCAACGTAGAGCCTACAGTAAGGATGTCGAGACGCAGATGCGGGCCTACAGGACGGAGGCTGACAGTGACTTACACAGCACATCAAAGCAGGTCTCCTCTGCGACACGGCCCGCCAGGCTGGTGCCGTAGCACGTCACACAAGTCCGCTGCTGGACATTGGACAGCGACATGACGACGGCGTCGCCACTACGAGTGAGGATGGCGCCGTTGGGCGGCTTGTCACTCCAGGACGCAATCGGGAAGGGGATGCCCTCGACCGGCCGGCAGCGTAGCTCGATGTCGGAGCCGATGATGACGTCCCGACCGCCGGTGATCTCCACCTTCGGGTCTTGAGCTGTACCAGGCCGTGAGTAATGCAGACAGTGCAGCACAACGTGATCAGTGGCAACACTAGCAGAAAACCCGGATGTCCCTCGGGCATACCTAACCAAGTCCCTACTCCCTAGCATACCAAGCTACATATTTCAGAGGAGAAGGAGTAGGAGGAGAAAGAGGAGGGGAAGAAGGAGTAGGAGGAGAAAGAGGAGGGGAAGAAGGAGGAGGAGTAGGAGGAGAAAGAGGAGGGGAAGAAGGAGGAGGATTAGGAGAAGGAGGAGAGGAAGGAGGAGGAGGATTAGGAGGAGGAGGAGGAGGAGGAGGAGATGGCGGCCAATCACAACCAACACACATGTGCCCATCAGTACAACACACATGTGCACAGCAGTACACACAGTGACACAGTATTGGGTAACGTACAGCGCACTTCCACACATTTCGTGTCCAGTCCCTCCCCGGCAAGGTTGGTACCGACGCACGTAACACACGCGCGTTGACGCAGGTCGGCAAAGTTCACCACGATGGCCGCACCGCGTGTGCTCTTCAGACCACCGCTGGCGGGATTGCGCCAGGACAGCTGTGGTGTGGGTATGCCTTGGGTCTGTACGCACACAAACTCCACCGAGCTGCCCAGGTCAACACTGGGTCCGGTGTTGCTGCTGGTCACCTGGACACGTGGACGTTCACCTGAACACAACACAACACATGCAGCAGCAGCCAGATTTCACCCCAGGAGTATCAGTGATTCATGAATGACTTCGTACAGTATGATGCATGTCCACGCAGCAGCCCAAGCACACATCACCCAAAAGCTGGAAGACGGAGTGCCCAAGGTAAGGATAGGGATGGAGACTATTTAGTATTTGCACGTGTAGTGTGGTGCATGCTGCAATAATTAGTATGAACCGTGTTGACTGCATTGTAGAAAAGTCCTAGTAAAAGTTGTATGACCTTGACAGTGTCCTGATTGACCCATGCCATGCCTCTGCACTGCTGCCTGTGTTGCTTCATGACCTTGAATCTGCTTTGACCCCAGATAACTCACGTATGCATTATCCCATGAGTACGAGGGGGATATCCCCAGATATCGCCGAATATTTTCCTGAGTACCGCAGGTAGGAGAGAAAGTATGAGAGATATAGTATACCCCGACTACGAATGGGATTATGAGAACTCACTGGTGACGTCAATGCACTGCTCGTCACGACCAGTGCCGACTGCGTTGCTACTTATACACGAGATGCAAATGTTCTCCACGATGCTTGGTATCCTCAGCACTATGGCATCGCCCTCAGTTGATTGAGTGGCGCCGGCTGGGAGACGGCCATTCTGCCCTGCCACCCAGGAGCGTTGGCCGCGGGGCAGGCCAGACACTTCAATGCAGCGCAGCGTCACCTCAGTGCCCAGGATTGGCCGATTCACGTTGATACCGCTGATCTGGACCACCGGAGGTTCACCTGATGAGAATAAACGCATGCGTGCATTGCATGCATGGATGCACACATACACACACACACACACACACACACACACACACACACACACACACACACACACACACACACACACACACACACACACACACACACACACACACACGTTAACAGGTACATTGTCAAAGACTGTAGGGATGTTCCTTTACCACATGGCAAATATCATACTGTAGAACGGGTAATTTTAGCGACTATTAATTTTAGCGTTTTCCCATTGTCAACCGGTTAGCGATGTTTTATTTTAGCGATTTGCAGCGATTTTACTCACGGATCACCAGTGCACTCCTAATGTCTCAACGGATTAGCCACTTGAAACTTTAGCGAAAATGAGTAGATCGCTAAATTCGCTAGGGTTTTTACGTCGCTAAAATTACCCGTTCAACAGTACATGATTAACTTTATGGGGAAATTGGTGACATGATCTAGCATTGCCAATCTAGTAAATGACTACTTTTGTGTGGCGCAAGATGTTTATGCAACCCTTACAGGCCTAAGGCCTACAGGTTTGGCTCTACATCAACTCTGGGGTGTACCGCTTTAGGAGCTGCGCCTGCGCCTTGCTCCTTAAAGAATGGTGGCGTTCCTACGGGTGCGGAAAACTCGGACTCTAGCCAAGTGTCACGCGAACGGTGAAACAAAATCCGGGTTATCAATTTATCATACAGACCATCACATGCTTACCAACAACCGTGATGCACTGCTCGTCTCTGCCGGTGCCGGCCAGGTTATTGCCAACGCAGGTGAAACAGTTACGGCCCAGCGGCAAAGAGTCGGCGCGGATGGTGATCGCGGAGCCGGAGCTGCCCGTGAGCGTTCCAGGTGGCAGGTTCTCCCAGCTGAGCTGCGGATCAGGCCGGCCACCCACAGCCACGCACTGCAGATTGATAGAAGAGCCGAACACGACCTCACTTCCGACGTCGCTCCCGCGAATCTCCACGCTGGGGATCTCTCCTGCAGCAGCACAGGATGTCACGTTGCACATACGATGTGTACAGAAACACCACTCACGCACATGTGCATGCGTGCACATGCATAAACATACACACACGCACACGCACGCACGCATGCACGCACACACACACATGCACACACACACATGCACACATGCACAGGCACACGCACACACACACCACACACACACCACACACACACACACACACACACACACACACACACACACACACACACACACACCCACACACACACACACACACACACACACATCATACAGCATACCACTTTTATCAATCTTTGCACCAGTACTCATCTAGTCTGATGAGAAACCGGTCATATTTCCCACTTGTACAACTCAATGATAGCAATATGCCATGCACTTCTCATTATTAGTCACACACACACACACACGCACGCACGCACACACACAACACACGCACAAAACACACACGTACGCACACACACACGTACGCACACACACACACGCACGCACACACACAACACACATAAAACACACACGTACGCACACACACACACGCACACACACACACACATGCACACACACACACATCCAGGGCAACACTTCATTGACTCTAACCTCCGACATTGATACACTCCGTTACTCTCTGATCACCAATGAGGTTAGTTCCGATACAGGTAACACACGTGCGTTCCAGCAGGTTGGTAAGTGTCAGCACAGCTACGTTACCCTCACGTGTCTGCACGGCACCTGGCGGTAGATTTCCACCCCAAGAGACTTGCGGGAACGGTACACCACCTTCTGGTACACAACGAAGACTTACACCCTCGCCAAACGTGACCTCAGCCCCGTTGTTTGACCCAGATATGCCGATTCTTGGACGCTCGCCTTGACAGAGAGACAGAGTGACAAAGGCGTATGAGATGGACAGATGAAAATACTAATAGGAGAGTTGGATAGAGAGGGCGTGTGCGCATGTGTGTGTGTGTATGTGCTTGCACAAGCGTGTGGACGTATGCAGGCATGTGGATGTGTGCACGCAAATGCATGTGCGTGAATGTGTGTGTGTGTGTGCACATGTGTGAGTGTGCACATGTGTGTGTGTGTGTGTGTTTGTGTGTGTGTGTGTTTGTGTGTGTGTGTGTGTGTGTGTGTGTGTGTGTGTGTGTGTGTGTACGCCACTGGTGTGTGTTGTGACACTATTGAAAGTAGTGCCCGACCGGCTGCAGCAGGAACACCCATTCTATACACAGCTGCGGGGTGACGCAGCAGCAGCAGCTCACCTGTGACATCAACGCAAACGGTCTGCCGGCCGATACCGGCCGAATTGGAACCCACACAGGTGACACAGGTGCGCTCCAGCAGTGACGGAACGGACCAGGTGATGGCGTTGCCAGACTCGCCGGTAGTGCCCGCCACAGTGCGACCCTCGATCTCCCAGACCAGCGTGGGCGTGGGAATTCCGACGACGGACACGCAGCTGAGGTCGAGAGCCGTGCCGATGACGATGTTGGGCGCTCCGAGATGAGAACCGGTGATTAGCACTTCTGGTACAACCTCTGAATTTCAGCAGACAAAAAGCAACGCGAAACGCAAGTGAAAGCAAAGTTATGGAAACGTTTGACGTTCTCAAAGGTGCAGGGACACCATCGCTCCGTTAGAATTAAATTTTGTTCCCGTGATTGATTGGTAGTGTTGGGGGCAAATCCAGAAAGGCTTCCTCTAGGTTGCCATGGTGCCCAGCACACCAGTACTGCCCTACCTGCATCACTCTCATCGTAGATATGACATCATTGTATGGCATGATACAGCCGCGGCGCTCACTGTTCAACGTCACTATGATGTCATAGTGCAGCCCGGCATTTCAATTAGTAATGTCATATTGGGGAGTAAAGACCTTCCTAAAAGTATCGCCGAAGTCGCAACCACTATTTCGTGGTGTCATATCGATGTTACATAAGTTCATAATGAGCTTCAGCATTATGGGCAGAACCCTCCACCGACTCCCAGGACCACTGCAGTCCTCTAACACACTAGCACAGGCCGATGACCTTCTCACAACTCAAAAGTAAAGTAGAAAATAAATATGCATCTTCGTTCCGAAGGGAACACACGGCGGCCTCTAACACTCGGATGATAACTCAGCAACAGACGCAATGTCTAAAGGTGGGGTGGGGGGATGAGTGATTCCAACCACTGACTCACCCAGCAGAGGCCCTACCTAACCTAATGTTACACAAGTTAGTAATGGAATTAGGCTGAAGTATGCTGTTACAGTCAGACCTCGCTTAACCGCACACATCCGTTTTCCACAACAATATCCGGATAGGCGAGGGAACCGGATAATCTAACACACATACTGTACGGATGCATGGCATATGCTGGAAATCGGTAACCAGCGATTTTCTTCCCGATGGCGAGGGATCCGGATAAAAGAGGACCGGATAAGCGAGGTCTGACTGTACTTAGAGTTTCATGCCGGTTATTCTACCACCCTCAGACAATAACATACTTCAGGCTATAGTTCCATTGTTAACTTGTGTTTTTGGCTCTGCCTGGGTTTAGAGCAACATAGCCTGGGTTTAGAGCAACATAGCCTGGGTTTAGAGCAACATAGCCTGGGTTTAGAGCAACATAGCCTGGGTTTAGAGCAACATAGCCTGGGTTTAGAGCAACATAGCCTGGGTTTAGAGCAACATAGCCTGGGTTTAGAGCAACATAGCCCGCTGCAACCTTATGTTTTAAAAGCAGTAATACCTTGTATTGTCAGACACTCGACGGCAGAGTCGCGTCCCAGGATGCTGGAGCCGATGCACTGCACGCACAGGCCCTGCGTCAGGCTGGGTATGGTCAGGAAGATGGAGCCGCCCTCGGAGCGGAACGTGCTGCCCTGCGGCCGGTTCTGCCACTGCAGCGCCGGTGTTGGTATTCCGTGCGTCGCCACACACTCCAGTGTCACCTGTGCACCGAACGTGACCGGCTGGTTAGCGTGCGTTCCCGTGATGGAGACTTTTGGTGCCTCCTCTGCAAGCATAAGTGATCGAAAAAAGGAACTGAGCCCCGGCTGTTATCTCCTTGAACATCCTGCATGCATGCTCTGATGAACTGGCCGGAAATCTCACTTGCATCTTCAATGAGTCACTGACCATCAGTATCTTCCCGGACCTTTACAAGATTGCCTCTGTTACCCCACTGCTCATTGAATGCATACTCCACATAGTGTGTAACGATTCATTTGTCACCGGGTTGACAGCAACTCATGCAAAAACACATGCTGTAGAACGAAATGTCCACAGGTCATATTCATCAAAACTGACTGGCAGGTTGGGTTGAAGCCCACGGCTGTGATATCCCGGGCAACTAGCTTAGTCTAGACTGGGCTAGAGCCTCAGGTATGCATCGTGATTGCTGCACCTGACTACTGCTAAACTGTGTACGGAAACAAATTGTGGGTGCATGTTTGTGTTCACCTCATTGGCCTCGCTTGTTTCTCATTTCTTTTGTTCATTTGGCTAATGCGAAGGCTAGCCAAGCTAGCTTGGTGATGCCAACGCGAACAAGCATAATAAAAGATAATAACGCTTGTGCATGTGTGGACTCACGCAGTACATCGACGCAGTGCAGCTCCACGGCTATGCCCTCCAGGTTGCTGCCGTTGCACTCCACGCAGAACGAGGAGCGCACGTCGTCAACGCGCATCTGTATGAAGTCTCCCAGTGGCGCCACCGCACTGTTGGGCGGCAATCCGACGCCGGGTTCGTTGCCGGGCCCTTGCCAGCGGAGGCGAGGAATCGGATCACCGCCGACGTATTCGCAGGTCAGGCTAACAGAGCTGCCGAACGTCACGTTCTTCGAGCCTCTGATCAACACCACCGGCGGCTCTCCCAGGCATCCGTCCCGGCAGTCCGGACGCGGTCCGAGATCACAGAAGCACCGCTCGCAGATCTGTCGGCTGATCTCGCGCACCTTGAGGTTTATGAAGGCCTTGGTGAAGGCGACGGCCGTGTCGCCACCGTCTCTGAGACGATTCAGATCCCACGCGGCGCCGCCGAGCTCGAACGCCAGTCGCGTGTAGTCGACGTGCGTGCTGCCGTGGGCTGTCTGCACGACTGGCCGACCGGCGTTGCGGTAGATGGTGTACCCACCGCCGGGTCGCTCCACGGCGCTGTCGTTGCTGGAGCTGACGCCCAGCGCCTCCGTGCCGAGGCTCGGCTGCGTCGACTGCATCTTCTGGTTGACGACCACGTTCAGCATGCAGCCCTTGGCGCGCATCTTCTGCAGGATGCGGTCGTAGCTGATGTAGGGGTCCTGCGGCGTACGACCTTCGTCCGTGATGCCGATGATCTGGCAGGCCTGACCAGGACGCAGCGGGTAGCGATCAAGGGCCAGCTCCATGGCGTGGTAGAGATCCTCCTCACGCCCATCCAGGGCTAGGTTCTCGCGGGCACTGTTGAACTCCTCGGCGGTACCCATTAGCGAGCCGTCGCACTCGGACATCGGGAACACACGTCCCCTCACCGCCTCGGGGTCGTCCTTGGCAAAGCCAACCAGGCCAAACTGGTTGGGAATGTCGACGCCGATTCCGTTGGCCTTCAGCGCCAAGTCCAGGCCAATGCTGATGTCCTGCAGCCAGGAGTGTTCACGGATCATGGAGCGCGACTCGTCGATCAGCATGATGATGTCAGCGGCGGGTCGAACTTGTGCATTGCGTAGCACTTCACTAGTGTTGAAGTAGCCGTACGCGCCCTTCCGCATGAACTCGCCTTTCCTGATGCAGCCCTCGCCTGCCAAGGCAAAGAAACAGCAACTAATGTCAGAATGTCAGTGTGCTATGCACTCAGGATTTGCGTGGACATGCACTGGATTCATGTGCGTGGGCATAGGCGTGCATCTAATGAGTAATGGGAACACTTCACAGATACACTCTGGTGGACTTGGGTTGTTTGTAGTCGGCGTAATTGTAACACAGGTACACACACACACATGTGTGTGTGTGTGTGTGTGTGTGTGTGTGTGTGTGTGTGTGTGTGTGTGTGTGTGTGTGTGTGTGTGTGTGTGTGTCAGCTTACCAACGAGCAGCTCAGCACAGCTTTGTGACGTCTCACTGCCCACGGTAGCAGAGCAGCAGTATTCCCCGGTATCCTCCTCGCGAAGGCCGCGCAGAGTCAGCCGACTGCCGACGGTCGAGGCGGTGCGGGGAATCCCCTTGCCGTGCATGCGCGTCCACTGGTACTGCGCCTCGTTGGACACGTCGCGGTTGACGTTGCACTGGTACGTGATCTGCTCGCCGACGGAGGTGCTGTGGAACGGTGGTGTAATGCTAACACGGAGATCTGCAGGATAGCAGCATAGTACACTTGGCATGGTCAATGCAGGATGACAGCATACTGCACACTTGGCATGATTAATGCAGGAACGAAACATTGCCGAATGCGGCGAGCATATTTGGAACAGAATTACACTGTACATGTTCTCGTGTACTGTAAGACATGTATATTTAACGAGGAAGCAAATCTAACGTTTTAACGGATGACATTTCTTCGTTATAATAAGATCCGTTAAGGCCGTACTGCTTCATATATGCTGTGTGTGGATATGGCAGAATACTGCAAGATCGTTAACATATCTTCTCGTTAACCTATGAATTTTGGACAATCGTTAAATTTGCGACTCGTTATAATAACATGTCTTACAGTATTACACAAGCATAACGCATCAAGTGCATAGAAAGCAGAACCGAGTTTGGTCACAACTCCGAGTTTCAATTATGCTAAACTGCAATCCTCAGCCAACCATACTGGTGTGATAATTTTAAAACCTGTTCTGCTTTCTGGAAAAGGATGCTGTACCAAGTGGGTATTGAGCTCTCAGCGAATGGAGTACTGTATTGAGCTCCCAGTGAGCAGAGAAAGAATTCTACTGTGCATCGCATGCATGGATTACTAATTTTGCAGTGGTGGCATGCATGGTGTACTAATTTTACAGCACATGGCATGCATGGGAGTACTAATTTTACAGCGCATGGCATGCATGGGTACTAATTTTACAGTGCACGACATGCATGAAGTACGCAGGACTACTCACTGACGACTCTGACGTTGCCGATTCCCTCGCTAATGGCCGTCTGCCCCGTGATACTGCTGACCGCCGTCACCTGACAGGTATAGAAACCGGTGTCGACGAGGCTCAAGTCGTGCACGTACAGCACCGAGTTGCACGTGTACTGCTTGGTGCGCTGGAACGGCAGCCTGCGTCCGTCCACGCGCGACCACTGGATGTTGAGCACGCTGTAGCCGGGCGGCAGGCGGTAGTTGCACACCATGAACGAGGCGTTGCCCGGGCGACGGATGCTGGAGGTCGGAACGACGCTCACGGGGAAGCGCAGAGTCTGCGGCGGCGGTGGCCGGGTCGGTGCCGGCGGCGGGAAGGTGCGGATTGGCGGTCGGGTTGTTCGCAGTTGTGTTGTCGGCGGCGGGGGACGTGTCGTGACTCTTGGCGCGGGGGCAGTGGGGATTGGTTCACCAAACGGGACGGCTGGTTTGGAAAAGAAAGGCAAAATAGAAAGTATCGCACACCCACATGCTCGACATTAGGCAATCTAGTTCAATCTACTTTTTAGATGCAGCTAGGCATTTATGCTTAGCTATAATTGAGGGCTCAGTCACATGTGTGTATGTATGTGTGGGCGGGGGGTCGGCGCTATAGGAGACCGCAGGACCTGTCCTGTCATTGTCCGCATTGCTGCGTACGATCCCCCCCCCCCCCCAAATGGGGTCTGCATAGCCATATTAAGGCAGCATGTCAGCGTGCCGAAGGTCCAATTTGTGTGTGTGTGTGTGTGTGTGTGCGCGCACGCGCATGTGTGCTAGCTAGGTCACTTGTGGGTGCACACACTAGTATGTCGTTCACTGTGCTGTGCATAGCCTTACTCAAGGAGGCGCGCGCTGACGCAGTTGCTCCGTTCTCCGCCACCACAGAACATACATAGGTACCGGTGTCAGCTGGCTGCAGGCTGTACAGGAAGAGGTTGTTGCCGCCTTCCAGCACAAAGCTGCGTGTGGGCAAGGCTCCGCTGGATCTGCTCCAGGTGAAGCGGTTGTTTGGAGAGGATGGCGCGGCACTGCATTCAAACACCACCGACGCGCCCTGGTTCCGGGTGACTGTGGACGGCTGAATGGATGCCGAAAGCTGTGCCGTTGGTCCTTGGCCTGGGGAAAAGCGGCAAGGAGCGAGACATACAGCATCATTTGCACAATTTGCAGGCCAGCAATAACAGAATGAAAAACCATACACACACCATCCTCAAATCAAGTGGTCTCTTCGCTGCAAATTACTAATAATTATCTCAATCAATTTTTCGGCCAAGAGCCACCATCAGGATCATCAGCAATAATAAAAAAACCTAGCATATTTAAACATACAACTGCAGTAGTGGCGTGGACAAGTGAAATTCGGATTCACCGGGCCCTCCGAGTATGATATGGTACCGCAAGGTTCTGCCCAACTTAGGCACATTTGCAGTTGGCCCGACGGCAATTCCGCATGCCGTCCACTACTGTACACGCACAGTCGCACACACACACACATGCACACCTGGTTTCTGGGCATGCGGCTACGAGCTAGTCGTGGCAATCCACAGTTTGGGGAATTCCCCTCACTCACTGAGTACCCGTAACTGCAGTTGTGGTGACCAGCAATAATTCTGCAGGGCCTGGTAAGCACTGGTGTGTGATATCTAATTGAATGGTGCTGGCACTATGTCAAGAGCGGACTGCATGGCTGTGGCGCCAGCTTTGCTGGGAAATCGCCCCGGACGACGCTTACCAGCTTGACCAGCATCTGCCACAGGATGAGCTGGTTCAGCCCAGTGACAGAGGCCAGAACAGGTCTTGTCCACATGCAGTAGCTGACATGGGCATCCAATCGATTAACACACCGAGGGATTTTACGGGGACACAAGCAATTCACGTCTTTGATGTGTATCCGCCAGGCCTAATCAAGGAATCCAACTCAGCAATCCACCTACTGCACACAGTCTGAACTTCAAACATACACTATGTGTGAACAGATGCGGTGCATGCACCAAGCGCACCCAGTACTACAATAATCTTCTGCGCAGAGCACAGCTCGCACTCTAACTCCAAAGATATGTCTTGGCAGTAGGTCCGCTATGATTTGGCAGAAATGATAGTCACCACTGCGTACTCTGGTCTTTCATTTCAGTCATGTAGTTAGCGGAACTTGCCTGCATTGACACTCCAGTAACCGGTGGTGTTAGTGGACAGTATAGCGTAACTTGTAGTTCCTTGGTTCTTTTTCTTTCCTTTAAATTCTTTGGGAAATCCTTAAATAGAATAAAAAATCATGCAAAAATCATGCAAAAATCATGCAGATAGAGAGCTTCCACTCACCTCTAACAAGGAGGACGGTGCGGTCGCGGGATACACCGACGTTGGATCTTCCCTGGCACTCGTACGTGCCCGCATCGGATTGTTGAACCCTGTAGAGGTAGAGTAGACCATGGCCAGAGCCGTCCACTACGCTGAGGTGTCGCCCTGACACCAGCTGAGCTCCGCCGATGCGCCGCCACACATAGTCCTGGATGATGCCCTGGCAACGGCACGTGAAGATGGCCACCCGCAGCTGGTCGACCGGATTGCTTTCCAGCGACACGCGGCACTCTGCAGTTTGCGTGCGTGTGCATGCATGTACGTAAGAGAGTGAGTGTGTGTGTGTGTGTGTGTGTGTGTGTGTGTGTGTGTGTGTGTGTGTGTGTGTGTGTGTGTGTGTGTGTGTGTGTGTGTGTGTGTGTGTGTGTGAGAGAGAGAGAGAGAGAGAGAGAGAGAGAGAGAGAGTGAGAGAGAGAGAGAGAGAGAGAGAGAGAAAGAGAAAGAGAAAGAGATAGATAGAGAGAGAGAGAGAGAGAGAGAGAGAGAGAGAGAGAGAGAGAGAGAGAGAGAGAGAGAGAGAGAGAGAGAGAGAGAGAGAGAGAGAGAGAGAGAGAGAGAGAGAGAGAGAGAGAGAGAGAGAGAGAAACAGCCAAAGCACATCTCATTTTCATAGTAAAGAAAAAGGACCAAAGAACTACAAGTTACGCTGTAATGTCCACTAACACCAGCTACTAAACAATCAGCTCATGCGATAGCATTGATCGACGGTCCTGACATTCAACAACGAACTGGCTATCAGCTCTAGCATGCCTTGCGCTCACCTTCCCCTCCTATGTTATCATAATATATTAGAACCTTCCAAGTTGGAAGGCTGTTGGAGTGCGCATCCAAGGCGTGCTAGAGCTGATAGCTAGTTACCGTAAAGTCGCGGATAAAAGCCGGGTTTGCATACAAGCACATCGCGGATAGAAGCCTGAAAATCAAACGGGTCAAATGCATATAAGCCTGTCGCGGGTAGAAGCCTGGCCTTTTATGCAAGCGCGGATCGGGTGGGTCAAGAGTGCATGCGCTATGTGCGGTGCATAGTAAAACTGCCGCCATACCGGTAGTCAGTGGCAGTCAACTGGTAGATCTATGCGTGTCGCGCGTAGAAACCTGGCATACAGGCCTGGTAAAAATATCAGTGGTGCATAAAAGCATGGTTTGCATACAAGCCTGGTTTGCACTAAAGCCTGATGCAGAAAGCGGCTTATGTGCTTATAAGCCCGGCTTTTATCCGCGACTTTACGGTAGTTGTAGAACGTCAGCACCGTCGGTCAGTGTAGTGCAATGCTATTGCATGAGCTAGTTAGTTATTGCATGAGCTGATTGTTAAATAGCTGGTGTTAGTGGACATTATAGCGTAACTTGTAGTTCCTTCCTCCTTTTTCTTTACTATAAATTTATCCTTGTCTCTCCATCCGAGTACATCTCATTTTGATAACGTTAGAGCTCTCTGATAAATGCAACGAACTGTTGACCCAGAGGATATTCAATTCACTGTCTGCAAAGACCCCCCCCCCCCCCCTCCCTCCCACCCACGCACGCACCCACCCACACCCACGTCCACAGTGACACACTCGTATTCATGTGAATCATGATCTTCATATCGATAAGCCATGAGCGGATTTGACATTGCTGTTCCTTGTTCGAGCTGTTCAGCCAAGATCTGTAGAGATATGATGATGGTGTGCTGTGCTACAGTCACGGGATCATGATACGGCTAGTGAGCTGGGTGCTTCATCACATTCATTGAAGCTTCAGTATAGCGTGCCTCCAAGGGAGGTGAAAACCCATACAGCACTGTCGGGTCCTGAAGTACGGGCAGCCAAAGAACGGCCAGGCTGGGATTTCATAGACTGTAGGTCATGAAAATAGGAAAGGCCTAGGCTAGGAGGCTAGGAGGCTGACCCCAGGCGCATGCCCTGTATGGGTTCCTGGGTGCCCGGAACCACCCTTTTTTCGCTCAAAATGCAGGATTTTGCTTCATTTTTTGAAAAATTTCCCGGGGAGGCCCCCCGGAACCCCCCGCCATTTCTTTGGAATATGGCCGTACCGTACTTTATAGCCACAGTACTCTACATGTGTATCCGAGGTCAAATGACTGAAAAACTGGATACACAGAATGCTCAATAGTGCTTTGCACGTGTGTCCTAAGCAAAGGAAATGCTATGTCCAGGGTTCCAGTATGCTATAGAGAAGTTTTTTTCTGTACCACCAAAAACAGCAAACAGGTGACAGTCACTGCTCCCCCCCAGGGCCCCTCCCTGTATGTCTTTCAAGTGAAGCCATAGGAATATGCCATGTGCAAGCTCCGGAACGGAGTGGTTTTCAGAAACCGCACTGCACCCATTGGAAGCACATACACAGACGCACAGACACACATCTCTCAGAGTAACTGTGAAAAAGCAGACTGCCAGCATTCAGGAACCCATAGGGATGTGCCTAACTGGAAATAGCCCCGGCTATGACACCGTAGTAGCGTGTGCTGCTACTCAATACACACACACACACACACACACACACACACACACACACACACACACACACACACACACAGAGGCACTGACACTGACACATAGACACAGACACATAGACACAGACACACACACAGACACACACACACCGATTTGGCTAATTAATTATTTAGATGCAGACACTGCTTCTGCTTTGGTAAAGGACATGTGTCGGCTCGAACAGCTGTTCACTACTTGAGCTTATCATCTTTAAAGTTATGATTTCGGCACAGACGCTTCCTCTTTTTCCTTCTTCCTCTCGGCAAGAAATAAATATTGCAGCAGCAGATGCTATCTTTTGGCTTGCGAGCCATTAATTTTCTTCTGAGTGACTTTGACCTGGCCAATACTAGAAGTATATACGCGTGTACCGGCATCACGAGTTTTCCGTCATTAGAGTCACACTTGACACTGAGGCCGGCGAGCATAAAAAAGCCTACGTGACGACTTCCTCGCCGGGAATATCTACTACTGCGGCGGCTGCTGTTTGAGCTCGACTACTGGAATCGCTGTGCGTGCTGCTGCAAATGGCCATCAAGCTGTTGCACCGGCAGCATGAGCATCAGCTGACAATATGCCCGGCAGCCTACGGTGCTTCGCGACGATACGCCAGCGGTCAAAAACAAAGGCAGCCTCGTCGATCGCATCGTCCTACATCCAAGCTCTCAATTGCTTTGCAGCGTGAACAAGCTTCCTATGGCAGGAGGCAATGCAGCTGCCATACCTGAGAGTCACAGCCAATAGGTGTGATTCAGCAACTTTGACAAGTGGCCCAGTTGTACTGAACCTGAATTTGTTGTGGCGAGCTTCGCTCTCGAGTCCCATGGGACAGCTTTAGTTTCCTCATAAAGTCAGTGGCCAATGACCATCATGAAAGCGGATCAAGAGCTGTACGAGTGATGCATGATAAATACATGCATTGCCAATGAACAACCAGAAATTCAACCCCATTGCTGTTGGAATCTCACACAACAACGATGAATATAGGACATGACCAGGCCTGATGAACTGAACGAAATTCGATCCTCTTGAATGACATGAAATTCTAGATCGTGTAATCTAAAGGTCTGAACGAACTGACCATGTACTGGGAACATAATTACATCGGTCCATTGCGACCATTGTCATTGAGGTCAATACGCGTGGGCACTGAACCGTGCTGTCCGCACCCCGCCGCACCCACTGCCATGCGTGGTGCAGACCATGGCCATGTGCCGGGACTGGTTCCAGTTCAACAAACGGGCAAATATACCACAACGAACAGCTACAATGTATCCCCGTGGTTGAGCACATGGCACAAATCAATAATTAGCTGTCTAACAGTTTGGTTGCCCGGTGCCCCACACCTAGCACCTAGCACCAAATCGCGTGTCCGAGCTTCAACCTCTGCGGGTAATCACGTAAATCATCAATGGGAAAAATGCGTGCATTTCGATTCCATTCAAATGCGTCGTGTACGAAATCCAGTCGAGGAGATCATATTGGGAAGGAGAAGAAGCATTAGGCAAGACGAAGAAGTACACCATTACCTTGCGCATCCGCCGCTCCCAGCAGCAATACGAACGCCAACGCGGGCAAGGCAGAAAGCTGTGTGGCACAATTCAGAAAGACACAGAGACAGCCCAAAGACAGTAATGTCAACCACAAACAAAACGAGCCAGCAACGCGTGAAGCGCCCCCATGCACAGGCGAATGAACATCGCGCTCACAACTGGTCCAGCTCTACTCCACAGGGAACCCGCGCAAATCACTCCCTCGAAACAGGTGGTCCGTTCCAGTACAATACTGATACCAGTAGGCACTGGAGCAGGATCAATGGAGAAGAGTTCCATTATCTTACCATTGTTAGCGACTGCAGATAGCGACCAACTGTGGCCATTTTTGCGGACAAACTGGCCAGCCCCCCAAGACCGGCTTGGGCAGGGATTCGCAGTCCGCACACGGGGGAAACGAAAAGGAATTCGGGCCGGACGACACGGCCTGGGTGCTGTTGTGATGCTGCAAGTTTGCTGGGAAAGCAGCTCGGTGGTGGAAAGGAGGAGTGATATTCTCCTACTCTTCAGCCCGCACACTGCACAGGTGTCCTGCAAAGCCTCCGAGTGACGACTCTGGACAGATCAGGGCATTTTCATCTCGCCGCCTTCAACAAGTCCATGCTACTGACTGTAGTGGCTCGGTGGGACATCACGTGCTTGCGAGCCGTCATGACTAGGTCGAAATGCTAGGCCACTGCATCGATCCGTGGTCTCCGGGGAGCGAGACCCCTGGCTTGCACCCTGCCACTGAGTCTGTGCCAGAGCCTGCAACGCATGCTAATGTTGCGACTGCTGCACTAACAACAATAGTCAATAGTTACATTACGATTGTTTCCTAACCCTGGCGAAGTTGCCTTCGCATGCCTCCTGCCAGTCCTGGGTCTAACTCGGGTCGAGTTTGTGTGTAGTGCTTGCTTTTTCTTACGTGCTCTCTGTCTTCGTGCATCTACCAAGTACGAACATGTATCTAGGCTGTAGAGTGAAGTGGTGAAGGACTTTCTTCAACGCTCATCACACATGGCCATGCCAGGTAGGTGATTGTGAGCAAGGGATTGAGAATCATGCTCTTCAACAATCCTGCGCGTTCAACAAGCTATGAAGGCTTGAAGCAGTCGCCGGTCAACAATTACATATCGAAAGTCCTCGATGCTCGTCACGAAACTCACAACGGCGCTCGCATGGCAGCGACGGGAAGGAAGCCGCGTGGTTTACAAGTGACATGACTGTGTCAGTGCGAGGCTCACCGCGATAATCGTGCTTCTACCCCAAGCCTGGTCATTACGAGTGTGGAGATGGGATACCGAATAGTGAGGACGCCGCACGATCTCATTTCAGATCAGAACCAGCCGGTTCCTCGCTGATAAATATTGGAAACGGACGATGCGTCCTATTGGCTTCGGGCTGTCTTAGGTAGATTACTTTCCTTGATTTGCTCTGGACCTCGGCGCCCTTTGCCCAGTAGAGGAAGACCTGCTTTTCATGTCGTGCTCTGGGGACAATTAGCTTGAGAGGCCTCAAGCCAGAGTCAAACTCCCTGGAGTATGCGCGTCGGGGTTCCTTCGGCCTTTGAACAAGTCAACGTAGATTTACACGCGAGAAATGAAAACCAGGAGCGACTGCGCATCACTAATACTAACGTCCACATGATAACGACCATGATGACTGCGATGTGAATGAGAAACTAATACATGCACACTAGTACACTATTGACAGTATTGTCGTATTGGGGTCCTAATAGGCTATAACTTGGTTACACACGGCGTTCCAGAGGTGTGACGAGTGTCAGTCGGAAGGCAAGAGGTGGCGACACAGGCGAGTGCCAATACGAGTTCATCTACACTGCACTGCCGAGTGTATCACTTCCACATTGTCGAAGCGCGAGCCGTCACATAGTCTAGCTGATGCTGATGATAGTCTAGTAGAAGTCAAACAGGCAAGACAAAGACAGGTTAAGTGGTGTGTGTGTAGGATGGATAAGCCCTTCTATCGCCGTAGCAAACACCTGCTTTCTGCGCCTCTTGTCAGTAGTTCACTGTGGTCGACTTGTCACGGGTAGACATGGGCCAGTGTCACTGACTATGTCAATGTAAAACAAGTAGCTCAGGTTCAAAGGGCGCGACCTTTCACAGTGAGGTGAGATGGCCACGCTAAACCTCCACTGATCGGAATCCAGGGTCTTTCTCACACTTCGTTCAGCTGTCCCAGTCACTGAGTCAGTTTCAGGTCTTGCAGGATCGAGATGTCTAGCGCCTCCACACAGTAAACCGGCTACAGACTGCGAGTACAGGCTGCGTCTGGCGCAGACACTTGCACTTGCACGCAAAATGCATGGTAGACTGATCTCCCTCTCTCTCAAGTCTCTCTGCACTGCATATGCACCGTCTGAAACTTGAAAGTAAAAGCGCAAAGTAAAATGCGGCAGTCAACGAGTTGCAGATGTTTTGCGCCTTGCTTTCATGACAAAACTAATGCCTAAGAGGCCCAAATTTCACAAGCTGTTGGTGTGCCTTCTTGCAACCCTGCCCTCAATTAGTACATGTATCGCAGTTTATTGGCACCGATATCATCCCTCCATTCTAGAGTAACACTACGCACGTGTAGACCATGACGGCCTCCATTGCACCATTCGCATTCATTGGGCAGCGCTACCGCATAGCGGATGTAGTGTTCAACGTTGTTGGAACAGACCTCGAGAAACTTCAAAGACAGTAGATCTACGTAATGTACACTCTGTTCAGTTCTCTCCGGGCGTTGCGACGATTGGGTTCGCACGTCTAACCTTCCTTTGCTACTTGTGAGCGCTCAGTTGCTGTGCAGCCGGAATTCCAAGTCAAAATGGCCTGACACCGGACAAAATATTTTAAAAGCAACGAACGGTTGTGCGACGCCGTCAGCAGAAATAATCCGTAGGAACGTCAAACGTGATGTTGACTGGCTTTGGTCAGTTAGGATTTTCCCTCCATTGAGGACTCTACTACGCGTTGGTCATTGAGTCAACGCGGTGACAGTATGGTATGTTGAGCGGACGGACAGGTTGGAAAGACAAGTAGACAATGAAGCAGCTGGATGATTGGGGACGCGCCCTGCGAAAGGGTGCACGCTGGACAGGCGAATCCCGCCCTGGGCCTGGTACCAGACATATCCAGCCTGTCAGTGTCAGCTTGTCAATTCGCGTACTCACCTCTTGCAGCGAGCACGCGGTGCCTATCAGTATCAGTGCATCACTCTGTACTTCCAGATCCTGGTCCGCAAACTGCTCCGTGACCTGCGATGAGCAGATGATGCGTTGGCAGCCTAGCCTCTCACACGGTGAGTGCAATCATGTGCTTGTCAGCAATTACTAGTACAGGTCTACTCTCCATATAACGTAATCTCTGGGACCACGCACAAATTATGTTATATCGAGAGTTATGTTATGTAGAAAACCGTGTGTAAAATACAAGATGCACCTCAAAATGAAGGGTATTACAAAGCGGGTTTAACCGTGCAAACATATACACACTGTACCACCATCGACATCAGATACCATCAATGCCGCAGAATATATGCACAATAGGACTAAACTGGCTAGCTACGGCTACAGCTTGATCGTACCGCGCACGTGAATCTACGTTGTATCGAGAGTGCGCACGTCGGGGACCGCGCCACAGGGTGCGTTATGCCGAGGTTTACGTTATGTAGGACTAAACTGCCTAGCTGCAGCTACCGCTTGATCGTACCGCGCACGTGAATTTATGTTGTATCGAGAGTGCGTACGTCGGGGACCGCGCCGTAGCGTGTGTTATGTCGAGGTTTATGTTATGTAGGATTATGTTGTGTAGAACAAAATTTGTATGGGAGTGATGCTGTTTCGGCACGGGATTTGATTATTTTACTTACTAGCGAGGTTTATGTACAAGTGAAAGTTGTTATATCGAGAGCAGACCTGTAGTTGGGATAGATATACAATGTACATGACTTGTGCTATTGCATACAGTAGAGTATGATCGCTACTGGGTCAATGACGCGCAGAACTAAAAATTAATAAAATCAATGAAGGCAATCAGGTGTATGGGATTAGTCATTGCTGGCAAAAAAATACCAGTGGCATTGCCGTACTTTAAAGCTTTATTAATCTTTTCACGGTTCCTGCATGATTCCTTTCCTCGGCCTAGTGCTTCTGCAGTCACACACTGACACTCATGATTTGAAGGTGAAGCTGGTGGTCACTTCGAAATAGTCCGTTTCCACAGGTAGCAGTGTCCTATGGCCCAAGCAATAGCACATACACATTCTTCTATATGTATAACGTGGGAATTGTATGATATGATGAGTAGAGCCTCTGCTCTCAATCCGGGCCATGCACTTCGGGAGCATAGCGCGCGCACACACACACACACACACACACACACACACACACACACACACACACACACACACACACACACACACACACACACACACACACACACATGCACGCACCTGTCCTGTCCTGTAGAGCCACTGCCACACACATACACACACACACACACACACACACACACACACACACACACACACACACACACACACATGCACACATGCACACACCTGTCCTGTAGAGCCACTGCCACACACATACACACACACACACACACACACACACACACACACACACACACACACACACACACACACACACACATGCACACACCTGTCCTGTAGAGCCACTGCCACACACACACACACACACACACACACACACACACACACACACACACACACCATGTACACATACAATGTGCAATGTATGCAACCAACCCTTACATGTACAGTGGGACTCACTTATAGTGAATAGTAAGATATTACGAGAGCAGCGAGAAGATAAGATGTATGGTAGTGCATATGAGTTTCCGATTTATTTATTTACTTATTGATAATTTGAATAGTTTGCTGGCAACCTGCCTACACTCAATAATACAAGAGAGCACTGCATTTTCACACATATCCATTAGAGGTATCGTTTCAACGTTTCGGTCTTCATGACCATCATCAGGAATGAAGTGGACATGGAAAAAACAGCAGTATAAGGGGTCGTCGCAAAAGTTTTCTGTCGTCCCTGAAACGAACATCGTTCATTTCGCACTCGGACCCCCTCCCCTCCCTCTGAAACGAACACAGCTTGCTATGCTGGACGACGAAAATCGCATGCATGTACATGTCATATGTACAGTGTCGGTCGACTTGCGATTTTGGCTCGCACCCCCTCCCCCCCCCCCCCTAAATGAATCATGTTCGTTTCAGGGACGACAAAAAAACTTTTGCGACGACCCCTAAAAGAAGGAAGCAAAGCGCGGTACCTAGTGACAGCGCACGTAGAGAAGTCACGCGGCAAAGCACGTCGTGGCTGGTGCATTGCTACATGTACATGACAACGCAGGCACAAACGGCGAGGAAAGTCACTGAGATATAGCGCTACAGCAGTGATATACAAGCACAGCTCCAGTCTCACACCTCCAGTGAGGTGTGTAGAACCCCGCGCCTCTCGCAGTAAATAACAGTGGTATTGATGTGGGCAGAACACACAGGTCAGTACCACAACATCTCATGCATGATGCTGTACTAATACGGACAACCCAAAGGCTGGGTTGATGGTGGGGTGATCTTATTAAAGTTGGCTTACCTGAAGTTTACACACAGAGTGTTTATCCACCAAGAGTTGTTTCAAACAAAACCATTCATTGCTAGTAATTTGATGATTCACCGTCACCCTCACTCAAATCCAGAGTTAGTTCATCGTTGTCCAGATCCCTATCCAAAGTTAGCTCACCAAAGATTATACTATGAGTTAGTAGGCGGTTCACCACAAGTAGTTAGTTGATCCAGGAACCGATCCAAATCAGCTCACGCTCACGATGTGAACCAGGGAGTCGTAAAATACTGTATTTTACGACTCCCTGATGTGAACCGACTGGTAACCGATCAGTACAACCCTTTAAAATTGATAAGATGTGCATTGTTATTCCTATGCTACTGTTAGCCAATAGCCTGGTCCAAAGTGTTGTCAACGTTGTGGTAGATAGTTGAAGAGTGCTGGTGGGCTGAAGGTGCATAAGTGCCCCCCCCCCCCCCCCCGCAGGTTTCTCCCAACAGCCATCGGACTCTGTCGACCCTGCACCTCGCCTAGTGCTTCAACATCAATATTGCTGCTCATCCCACTACCCGTCATGTGACCCGTGCTTTCGATCTGCTGGTGGATTTAAACAGCCCAATTGCAAGCATGGCAAGCGAGCAACGGCAAGGGAGTGCCTCCAGTTCAAGTTCTGCCGTGTGTGCGGTGAGAGATATTGCAGGCAGCAGGATCTGCAACGGCATGAGGCCGGATGTTCTGCTGCGAAGCCATGATGCTACCCCTTTGTTCCCCTCCTCATGAGGGCAGCTTAGCCATTTAACGGCAGCTATATGTCAAAGTCAAGGTCAAGGTGTGCGTGTGTATGTGTATGTGTGTGTGTGTGTGTGTGTGTGTGTGTGTGTGAGAGTGTATGTGTGTGTGTGTATATGTGTGTGTGTGTGTGTGTGTATGTGTGTTTGGCTCGCTGCGGAAACCAGTTTTCAGCAACCACCATCTGTCCGTCCGCACCAAGAAGAATATCTTCAATGCGTGCAATGTTGCTATTCCGCTGTACGGAGCTGAGTGCTGGGTACCCCTCCAAGCCGACATCCGGAGGTTCTTCACGTTCCACATGCAGTGTCTGCGTACCATTCTTGGCATAACAAGGTTAGATGCCTGGCAAGAGCGGATCAGCAATGACCAGCTGTTGGAAATGTAGGACGACAAGCGCCCAATTGCTGTCCAGATTCACCAACGACGACTTGAGTGGCTGGGTCATGTTGCTCGCAAGCCATTGGAGCGCATCCTGAAGATTCCACTGTTCGTCTGCTCCTACCCCGCCATCCACCTGGCGGTCCACGCAAATGCTGGACAGACTGCGTTAGTGCAGATCTGAAGGCCCTGAATGCTGTGGAGGGATGATACGATCTGGCAGATTCTCACGCTGATGCCGCATGTACCATTGTTCTGCGCCTGAGCCGCCCACACCCAATGCCCATTGCCAAGTATGTGATCGGTACTTCTCTCGCCCATCAGATGAGAAGCGTCACAAATGCTTGGCAGAGCGGCAGAAACCTGTTTGCAACCAGACTGGCGCTTGCCAGTGTCGACATGTCGTCTCTGCCAACGTTGGTTTCGCAGTCCCGGTGGATTGGCTACCCATCGGTGCGATCCCGGACCTGCTCCCAACACCGAGCACCTCGGCAACCCAGTCACTCCGCAGTTCAGCACCTGTCACCGCAGTTTCAAGTCCAGCAGCGGCTTGGCCAGACACAAGTGCAACCGCACGAAACGCAGCTCAGTATCAGAAAGGGCCGACTTCACATTCGAGTGCCCGTGCCCCAGGCAGTTCCGACTACGTCACCATCTAGTGCGCCATCAGAAGTGCTGCTCCTCAGCCTCTTCCACGTCTCTCCCTGACAGGGACCGTGTAACTTACCAAGGCAATGTATATCAAGGTCAACGCTGTGTGTGTGTGTGTGTCTGTGTGTGTGCGTGTGCGCGCGCGTGTGTGTGTGTGTGTGTGTGTGTGTGTGTGTGTGTGTACCCCCCCCCCCCCCACACACACACAATCAACACACAACACCCACTTACTGAGGTGTGGTGAGCCCATCAGTGGGATCATTTTCAAGTCCATCCAGAGTTTTGGGGATTTCAGGGGGTGTCGGCCGTTGGGCGGTTCAATAGCCAATTGAGTCATCTTTCCAAGATTCCTTTTGAGTCTCTCTCCCCTCTTCCGGGGGAGACCCACGTGACCAGTTTTGGCAGTGAGCAACAAGTACAAGTGTGTGTGTGTGTGTGTGTGTGTGTGTGTGTGTGTGTGTGTGTGTCAGAAGACCAAGGCCCGGCATGGCGGTGAACTGCTCTGACCCGCCACCTTCCATTGATCTTCAGGATGGAGGAAGCGTGGAGGTTGTGGACAGCTTTACCTATCTTGGCAGTGTCCTGAATGCAGACGGTGCTCTGGACAAGGAGCTCACCTCCCGCCTTGCCAAGGCCTCTCGTGCTTTTGGCGCTCTCCAAAAGCCAATCTTCGGGTCACAGTAGCGGCCTATCCATTTTAAAAGTCTAAGCGTCTTGTCTACAAGGCCATTGTCCTCCCTACCCTCTTCTATGGAGCAGAGACTTGGCCCATGAACGTGATGAAGGCCCGGCAGATAAATCGCCTGAATCTGTTTCATCGCTCATGCGTCCGTTCCATCTTGGGAGTCTCAAGGAGCGATCAGCACTCCCGTCATCTTACTACTGCTGATCTAGCCCAGAGAGCGCGTCTTCCTGAGGACATTGGCACTCTCCTTCGTGAGTACTGTCTGCGTTGGCTGGGTCATGTTGCCTGTATGGACGCGGCCCGGATTCCTCAACAAGTGTTGTTTGGGGAGCTCGAGGCAACCAGACCACGGCATGGGCCAAAGAAGCGTAGGCGAGACACGATTGTCGGTGATCTGCGCTCGCTGGATATTCCGGAGTCCGAGTGGTATCGGCTCGCACAAGATCGCCCGGAATGGCGCAGGCGGGTCCATCAACATCGTCTTCCTCCCCCGGCACCGAAGGACTTTCGCTGCGCATGCGGCAGAGCGTTTAGGAGAAGTGGCGATTTGAAGCGTCACATCAAGTGCTGCCCAACTCAGTAGCCTATCATCTCCACTGGAGATGGGGCGTCAAAGGTCAAAAGGTGTGTGTGTGTGTGTGTGTGTGTGTGTGTGTGTGTGTGTGTGTGTGCATGATGAGTTGGGAGATGAGACGGAGGACAATGTTGCGGTTGATGGAGAGGATGAGTCGGATGGGAATTGTGATCGTAAGAAGTCTGCTGTGTTTCTTCATTTGTTGTCTAACCCTAGATTATTTTCGTAGCCTACGGTTCCCAGCATGTTTGCCTCACTGCACCGTGACAGTAGTACTACTACTACTACCGTACTGGCAATATATGTTGCCGCAGTGAGGCCATGAAGCGTTACATTGGCACATGTTTGCCGCACGCAGGGCGTTACATGCAAAGTCGCACAGGAGCCGTTACACAGGTTTCTATATTGCCGCAGTCCTTTTTTTGCCACGCGGTACACGTGCTTTCCAGTTTTCAGCCTTTGCAGTGCAAACTGCAATGAAAAGATCGCCGCACCCCGCCTGACGCGCGTCACGAACGCAACGAAAATTTGTCGCACTAGCCTGGTCGCGCGTTACGCCGCACCCCCCTGCGTTACGCGTTACGCGGCAACATAATATTGCCAGTACGGTAGTACTAGTAATGTTGCTGGTCTTCAGCAGATTGCCCATACTACACAGACTGTCCGTACACTACAGTCTACCATGGTCTACACGTCATATTCTTTGACAATGACCTGATGACCATGATGACAGCATGCAAAGTTGTACTAAGGTTCAAGAGTTGTCTATAAATTTGTACAAGTAATTTAGTTGTATCAAACCGCGCGAATATCATGGTGACGTACCCAAATCAGCAAGGCGTTGTCGCATCACTGACTTCTTCTGTGAATGGTATTTCGCGAGTTCTGTTCATATCACCACATCAGATCTAGCTAGCTGCGACTGTACCGTGTAGACCGGAGAGAGGTCTACGTGTACGAGTAGATCTACGTGTACGAGTAGATCTACGTGTACGAGTAGATCTACTAAACTCGATCGTATACGCGTACTGTTACTGTACAGTGTTAGTAGTAGTGTTGTAGACTAGATCTACGTAGCTGAGACAGACTGCCAAGTGTCAGTACTCAGTAGATCTACTGAGTACTGACACTTGGCAGTCTGTCTCAGCTACGTAGATCTCGTCGTTGGCGACTACACTGTACAGACAGTCGGTTTTATCCGTTGTTACCATGGTATCTTGCGCATGCGCACTTTGAATCTTCCTTTTTGTTGCGACCTTCGGATTGAAGGACGTGAAACGTGGTTCTTGCTGCAGGAGGTTGGCTCTGTTTGCCTTAGTTTTGGTCGAGGATACTCTTGGCGTGTGACTGTTTGGACATAACAATGGGAAAGACAACGTAAGTCTATTTTGTAGCCTTGTTTCCCTTTTAGTATGTAGTTCACGGTTGATAATAAATGTAATGCGCATTCATATTTTCTGCATCTTGAGATGTTATTTTTGTACGTATCATTTTTTAGTTTCTTGATTCCGAACGAGAGTGAACCAGATCAGAGCCTATTTCATTGTAGATGGGAGCTATAGCGATATAAATGGTCTATGAGATTGATGTTTTGTAGTGTTGTCCGGTATTTGGCAAAAAGTCCTCCAGATCGAGATGTAAAATTTTGAAAATCTACTCAATGGAAAGCTCACACGTGGCGGCATACATTGCTATCAGGCACGTGCCTTTTATCGATTGCGTTGTCGTCACGCATGATGTAAAGAAAGAGCCTTTTACAGCCGCTTGGATCGGTACAATTATCTTGTGTCTTGTTGAAGTTCTGGAAAAGTTCTTGTCCTCGTCCATTTTGATCGGGCTGAAGTTTTATCGATCTGGTGGACAAAATACCGTAATAAATAAATTGAGCACCATTTTGATTTCGAGCACCATTTTGTTTCGTCACGTACAGTAGATCTACGGTGTACGTGGACCCGTGGGCAGATGCGGAGTGATGAGAGGTTTTGATGACGCCAGTTTGTATTATGATTCTCAAGCACGCACAATTCTCCGACTGTGTAGTAGCAAGCCAATACTGCATCAAGTACTAGTAACTTGAATACTCCATATTGTGATACAAGTACATAATTTAGATTCTGTAGCTTGTATAATAAATTGTTATCCTATAATTATTGAGTATTGTCGTATAAAGTGAGGATAAGTCGAAACACACTGGAGCAAGGTTGGCTGTTGCCCTTATTTCCAGTTTCCAGTTCACCCTGTTATTGGCAGTCTTTGTGTAGTTTGTTGTGAAATAATAAAATTGATTATAGGGCTTCATTCGTTTTGTCTACTCTGTAGGGTGGAACATTTTTTTGGAAAAGAAAATATGGTAGATGGAAGTTCGCAAACTCGTGTCTGTCTACCCATATCCGAATATGCCGTTTTCGCAGTACCATCATTGGGAAACAGCTCTCATGGTGATCCATCTACAGAAATACCGTACCTATATCAACTTCTACAGCAAAACCTGGCAGTGCTGAGAGCAAATAAGGTTCCAAGAATGTATAACTTTGCATAAGGGGTCTCCGACGGCGAAAAAGCCATATCGCTTGTTCCAAGTACGTTTTGTACTACAGTGTACAGACAACAAAGGCCGCCATGCACTCCGAATATCTTGACCTTGAAGGTTTGGAGTGCACCCCGAATATCTGCCATGATCATGCTGATGCCTTGCATGAGCTGATCATTTTTCACCATATCGGATTTGCAGGAGTCACACAATATGGACCAGGGGAATGGAATAACAATGCTCACATGGATTCAAGTGGCTCTATAATGCTCCTCTATCTCATGTGTGGTGACAACACGATTCACTAAAAGGCATGTGCCTAATAGCAAAGCATATTATATAGCCACGTGTGGGCTTCCCTAGGAGTGGATATTCAAAATTTTACACTTCAATCTGTAGGACTTTGTTGTCAAATGTCAGACAACCCTTCACCACATCCTGACTGATGAACCATCAATATCCCCTTAGCTCCCATCTACAATAAAATGGTCTCTGTTTCACTCTTGTCCAGAATCAAGAAACCAATGTAATGAGATGTTGTTGTGCTGCTATTGGTGCCATTGTCATCACTGTTGTAATGTGCCAGCATAAAGCACTGTCATTCTAGCACTTCAGCTCATGTTGGTGTTGCTCTGAGTATGACAGTCGTCATGTCTTTGGCTACAGAAAAATCAGTTCTTTCGGGTGAGCAGCTTGAATCCTATGATAGACATGCTCAATCAGAATTGGGACATCTCCATCTTGATCTTGAACATGCAGTCGAAGTAACCATTACAAGTCTCACCACCTTGGGCATGTCCAGTTTTGGAATATTTGAGATTGCTTGACTCTTGTGATTGGGTTCAGCAATCCATAATCCTGTAAATGCCAGAGCATTGTGCACTGTAGATGCTTCAAATGTGTATAATCCTGTATTGGTTGTATGTTGTGCTTTATGCTTATTGTTCTGCAGAGACAAGAAGTCTGCCAAGGTAAGGGTCAGCTAAAACTTGTCATGTGGATAACCTAGGGGAAGGGACATGCTGGAACTACCCTGGGCATACTTTTACAACCATGTACTGCAAACCTTCACTCTTGTCTGCAGCCGATCAAAGAGAGATTTCTCAATTTAGATTTTGCATTTGGATAATGCATTGAATGTAGGTATGAATGAACATGATCTGGACCAGTCGCAAAGCAGTTTGATCCACGGTACACAGGCATCACGGATAATGTACCGAATATCTATGCTTTGTGTGATGTGTATGTGGCTTCAAGGGAATGGTTTGGATTACTTTATATTGATTTGTTATTCTAAGTTTGCAACAATCCTTTTTCTTGTTTCTTGTTTTCCTTTTTGGTATTTCTAGGGCAAGAAGACCTCAGAGGTGAGTCAAGAGGTGTTTCTTTATATTTTCTAAACTGTCTATGTCTCAAGTTTCACTTTCTCACTTTTTGGTAATGTCTTCTTTCAAAGGAATCTAGCTTCTAAACAACGCAATATATTGAAAGACTTCTTCTTCTTTTATCGTTGAATCTGTCAGGTCATCGAGAAGGCAAAGAAGAAGAAGGCACCACCGCCACCCCCATCATCTTCCGAGTCTGAGGTAGGACCTCCACATAATCTGTTACCACAATTTCTTTATGACGATTTCAAATTTTAGTACTTTGGCTGTATGCTCTACACTATAAAGCTAGATTCCACTGAATTCCACTTGTGCACCGAACCCGATTAGCTGCTGGAAATCACACTTCATTCTTTCTGTACATGTATCACTGGGAGTACATGCACTGTGTACAAAAAAGTGTTTGTCCCATCCATCATATAGTTGGCGGTGCACTGCTCAAGCATTCTGTTCCTGATTACTGTAGCTTTTTGTGTATTTTTCATGCCGAACAGGAGGAGAGCAGTGAGGAATCGTAAGTGTACAATGATATTGATTCCATTTATTTAGTCCTTTGGCAGCTGTGTATGTGTAGGTAAATTTAACTAAATTATGTTAGATACCGTACTTCTATATTATTAACGGTGGGTTTTATAGCGAACATATTGGCATCATCACTCAAGAAGCTCAGAGGAAGCAGGGCATACGCCAAAGCAAATGCACTGGAACGAATGTCACTCATGGTAACTCCGAATGCATCGGTTTCACTTGTGATTATTCTACGAGTATTCCGCAAAGAATCAGAACTCTACGATCGAGGAAAATGAAAGAAAGTGTCCTAGCCATCAGGATTGATCTCATTCTCCAAGGAGCACCCACACTCCTGGTTCCCTACACAGAGGTATACGTTTTGTGAATTTAGCCCAACAGCTCTGAGTAAATTTCCATAGGTCAAAACATGGTAGGACAGTTGTTTTAATACTTTGCTGTTATTCTTTGACCATGTGTTCTGGTTGTTTTTTTCCAGCTCTGAGGAGGAGCCTGTACCTGTTCCTCCCCCAAAGAAGGTAGCAGCTGCCAAGGTATGTGTGAGCTGATATTTGGTGTTTTAGGTGTTAGGGGCCGTCCAAGGTTACCAATCATATTTTCAAAACGAAATGTTTTCGTTTGTGGGTGGGTGGGTTTGATGGAGTTTCGTTTTGAAAATAATTATTGAATGCTGATGGAGAATGCCCAGTTACTTCTGGGTGTCGAAAATTGACATCAATATTTTATTGGAATTCGTTTTACCTGCAGAAAAGGTGGGTGGGTGGGGGCTGAAAAAAACTAAAACTTTTCGTTTAAACAATCGGTAACCCCGGACGGCCCCTTACACTGCAGGCAATTTTCATACACAATTAATACTGTTCCGGCATCTTGCCCAGAATCCTACGGCAGTTGTATGTTATGCAACACCGGCAGTAGATGTTGCGTCCCTCATTCTCCGTTCTATTGTTGAAAGAGGAGGCAAGTCCATTAGTCTTTTTCATGACCAGATATTCGGAAACACTTTTCTCAAGGTTTGGAGACTCCACTGTAGCCAATACTTGAATCCATACATCCTGTACACACACCTTGTACACACTCTCTCTAACGGTCTCTAGGCTACACTGCAATTGATATACATTAGCTCAAATTTTCGGTACTCACGCTAGTAATCCTGCACTATCACTATATTTTCACCTCATACATATCACACAGAATTATAATCTCGCTTCCTGTGGTATTGCTATACCATCACACTTTGGCCACTAGTACTTGTCACATATATATAAACCCCTGTTCTGTCTACAGTAAACTTATTCCTGATGATGGGCCTTGCCCGAAAATTTGAGCTAATGTATATCAATTGCAGTGTAGCCTAGAGACCGTTAGAGAGAGTGTGTACAAGGTGTGTGTACAGGATGTATGGATTCATGACCAGATATGTACCTGTTTTTTATTTCTTCTGCTTCTACAGGGCAAGAAGACCACAGAGGTAAGCTAGGTTCTGACAATGTACATCACTGCACTTGCCACGTTTGTTCTTTGTACGCGTTTACGTGTTGGTGTGTCATCTGTCAGCCCTTTACTTATTATGATGAATGATTGTTCTTTGTGTAGGTTGCCAAGAAATCCTCCAAGAAGGCACCTCCTCCACCATCTTCCTCTTCCGAGGTTTGTTCCCCTTGTTTTGATTGGGGTTTTCATGTAACTGCTGTATTGCTTGATATGATTAATGCAGTTTGCAAGTAAGAGTGTTGATTTTTTCATTGAGTTTGTGTCTCACTGCCAACCATGTCTGAGACATTGGCCGATGTGCTTAGTAGTCGCGAGCCCTAAATCAACCAGTTTGCATTTACACAAAGCCCTGAAATTATGTGGCGGTAATAAAAGGAAAGCGCTATTTTCCAAAAATACGATACAAGCAGCCGAAACTTCACCCATACGTTATGATCTCATTGGTAACGTCATATGGCGTCATGGATGCTGTCACTTTGGCGGGTTCTATATCAATGACGTCATCATCCGGGTCAAGTGGCAAAATACTATCTTCTGGGAGGATATAGTTATTGCACTATCGAAAGTTTTGTAGTCTTTAATATATTATGTTATCACCGGTATAACGACCATTTTATTTTGTGTTTCTTTGCCTCATCCAGGAATCCAGTGAAGAAGAATCGTAAGTTTCTGTGTTCTGTGCATTCTTTTCAATGTTCCTGGTTCCTATACCCTGGCAATAAACTTGGTTTGGCTGATGATGAAAATTCACACCTGAATATTGACACTACGTGTTGAGAGAACTTCTTGTGAATTCCTCGTTACTGAGGCTCATTTACATGTATATGTGACGTTTGTTGTAGTGTTTCGTGTAGCTTATTATATTTCCTTGTCCCCTTTTGTTCATTAGATCTGAGGAAGAGGTTGCACCTGCCAAGGCCACAAAGGGTACCAAGGTAAGGGGGCTATTTCATTTCATGCTGTTAGTCGCTCACCCTTAGCTGGGCGATCTTATCCGTGGCATTCCTAATGTGTGCGTGGGTGTGCGAGATTCTAACGTGACGAAGTCGTTCAAGAAATCAAACCAAGGGTGTTCCGAAGTACAGCTTGGCCAACCTCACAATTTATGTGCTGATGCATATCTTCGACGTCAGAGTGAAGCAGTCCCGCCGGTGTTGTACAGCAGGATGCTGGTGCATTATATGCTGTACTAAGAGTTGGTTGTACTGGTCAACTATAAGAAAGTCAAGTTGTTTATGACCCGTTCGCGATAGCAAGCGTGTCATCTTTTACATGTGACAAAGACGGGCTGGACATGTAAGACAGCTGGTTTTTCATTCCTGTTGCAGCGCCCTGCACCCAAGAAGGAGAGCAGTAGTGAGGAATCGGACAGTGACAATAGCTCAGATGAGAGTGAGGAAGAGCTTCCACCAGCTAAGAAATCCAAAGCTGCGAGCAAGACTGCTTCCAAGCCACAAGCGAAGCAACAGCCGAAAAAGGCGAGAATTTAGTATAATCGCTGCTGTGTCCATTGCTTCCTTTTTTCGGTGTATGTGCCGGGGGAGGGGGGGGGGGGGTCTTCTGGCCTGTATCGTGTGCCCGGGGGGGGGGGGGGGGGGGGAGTATGTCTATATGTATTATCAACTAGTCTGTTGATCAATATCCATCCCTTTGGGCATTTCTTGTACTCCTGATGGCCAGAACATCTCTGTGTGATAGTTTCTATCTCCATTCTAGTGCTTGTCTTTGTTCAATCCTTTCACTTCTAGTGTTAGGAAACATGGTTTTCTTGTGGCATGCTGGAAGTGAAAAAGGTTGCATTACACGTCTTGGCTCTCCATTTGTGTTTATGTGTGTGCTCATTTTTCTGTTTGTTTTCTTGTTGCTTGCTATATGTCTCACAGCAAGAGTCAAGCGAAGACGAATCCAGCGAGGAGGAATCATCGTAAGTCTTGTGTGTGTGTGTGTGTGCGTGTCAATATTCTTGATTTGGCACGTGTATTTGCATATCTAAAACCAGTTTTGGCCTATGATGAAAATTCACACCTGAATATTGACACTACATGTTGATAGAACTTCTTGTGAATTCCTCGTTACTGAGGCCTATGCTGTTGACTCCGGATTAAAGGCGCCATTACTTTCATGTGTTTATTCATCGACTATCACCTGACTTTATGTTTCCTCAGATCTGAGGAAGAGGCTGCACCCAAGGCTAAGGGAACAAAGGTATGGTGACAGGGTACACAGAACACATCACTACTTTGTAGCTTTCGTCCGTCCTCGTCAGGAATGCTGTCACCAATTGGAGTCGTGCCATTGTCTTCTTTTATTGTTTCGTATTGTAATGTGTGTGTAAAGTCATTCATTCTTCTGGCTAGAGGATTGCTAGGTTACGATAAAGAGTACACGGCAGCTGTGCTTTTCTGACACATACAATGCACCTATGCACTGCCATTGCAGCGTGCTGCACCTGTAAAGGATAGCAGTAGTGAAGAATCAGACAGTGACGACTCGGATGAGAGTTCAGATGACCAGCCACCAGCTAAGAAATCTAAAACTGTGAGCAAGCCGGCTCCTACGAAACTACCGAAGAAAGTGAGATGATTGGCCATGCATTCCAGACATTCTACACTCTGTAGAAATTTGAAAACCTTTTGTGTCCAAATGCTCTCTTGAATTTTGCAACGCTGATGCATTACTTTCTGCTAACACCATCTTTGCATACACGGTGAATGCCGTTTTGCGGGGGAAGAGAGCTTTGCGTTCTGCATTCAATTTGGTACATTGGTACAAGTCTCGGGCCTTTCCAGCGCCTTGTGACAACTGGCATGTTTTTGGTGCGTGCAGAGTGCCCAGGCTGCTTCCAGCAGTAGTGACAGTAGTGACGATGACGACGACAGTTCTGAAGAATCATCGAGTAGTGAGAGTGACGCACCTGTGACTAAGAAAGGCAAGGCTAATGGCCAAGTCCAGGCTAAGCAAGCCCAGAGACCCGTAGTTGCGTCTAAGAAAGTAAGCTGTCATTGTCTTGTCCTTGGCATTATCGGCATGTTCCTTTCTATCGCTATCTTTCACCATAGCCTCCCACTTTTTATTTTGGTTGCCATGGTTCTTGAATATAAGTGGGCATTGTGTGTGCTTGTCGATGTCATGTTTTTGGAGTACTTGTGGATGTACAGTGTATTTCCACTATCATCTACATTGTCTGGATTGGCCTGTAGCGCAGTACTGGCATCTACAATAATGACTGTAGTATCCTCGAATACTGAACATCTGATTTTGTGCTTCATTCAGCAGATTGTACATTCACTTGTGTATGCTTTTTAGCTTTTCTACTTCTATGCATGCACATTTGCAGATGCAATGCTCGGGTGTATGTTATAGTGAGCTCGTTGCACTAATGGGATTATGGCTGCGTCCAGTGAATTCTAATCATTGCTCATGTTTCTGTATTTGTAGCGTTCTGCACCAGAGAGTGACTCTGACTCCGAGTCGGACTCTGATTCCGATTCTGACAGTGATGCCTCGCCTCCCCCAGCCAAGAAGGCCAAGCCCACTCCATCCAAGCCCGCTGCAAAGGAAGGTGTGTACTTTTTTTTGGTGTATCCACAGCTTTTGTATATCGTGAAGCTTTCATAAAATAATGTATTCTGAATGCGCTCAACTATTCCAAAGATTGTGACGCAAAATTACTCTGCCAACCTTTACCAATTTATCTCAGGCTAACTACTCCTGAGTTGAGCATGGCTGTTGGCAGACATTAACATCATGTCTTTCACGCTATGGCAGTGCTCTTTGTGTTCTCCACAGAGTGCTGCTAACGAAAGCAGGACATTTCTAACTGGCTGTTTCTTGTAGTTGTTATCCGTGGCTTGCCGGTGTTGTCTTGCAAGTCCATGGGATCATGCAAATCTGTTCGAATAATGTAATACCGCTGCTATTGCCTGCGTTGCTTGATCATTAGGTGGCCGCACTCCTAGCACTGGCTCCTCCGGTGGCAGCAAGACCTTGTTCGTTGGCCGATTGGACTGGGGAGTTGATGATGCTACCCTAGCTCAGGCTTTCGACGGCTGCAGCAATGCACGTGTCATCACTGACAGAGACTCTGGACGATCCAAGGGGTGAGTTTTGCCACTGGCATGCACAACTTTGTGCAAGAAAGAATTTCTGGCCGATGATGAAAATTCACACCTGAATATTGACACTGCATGTTGAGAGAACTTCTTGTGAATTCCTCGTTGCTGAGGCCTATTTCTGTTTGTGTAGTGATTATGGAATCCTCGCTCAAGACTTTAGGGTATTCAGTATTGTGCTATATACTGGCCTGATGTTTTCATTGCAGCTTTGGCTACGTTGACTTTGACGATGCCGACTCTGCACAGAAGGCGAAGGATGCCATGGACGGACAGGAGCTGAACGGCCGCAACATCCACATTGACTTTGCTCAGGAGCGCGGTGATTCTCCCGGTGCACGTGGCCGCGGTGGTCAGCGTGGTGGTGCACGCGGCGGTGGTCGCGGCGGCAGCGCCTCTACACCCAGCAAGACCCTGTTTGTTGGCAAGCTCGACTTCAACCTGGACAGCGACTCTCTAGCTGAGTACTTCGAGGGTTGCAGCAAGGCCCGTGTCATTACCGACCGCGAGTCTGGCCAATCCAAGGGGTATGTGGGTTTTTTCTTTTCTTTCATTCGCAATGTGTGCTGCATTGGCCAATAATAATTGCATGCTGAATCATTTATGATGTGCAGTCCACGACCGTAGTTCAGTTTAGTGGCGTGTAGCGTCTATCAGTTTGTGGGTGCTCAAGAAATGTTTTGGGTTTTCCCCAGAAGTCAAAATTGTTGCCAACTATTACCAATTCATCACAGGCCACATCTCTCCTGTGTTGATCATGGCTGTTGGCACATAGTGAAATCTTGTCTCTCACGCTATGGCAGTGCTCCTGCTTATTTCCACGGAGCACTGCTAACGAGAGCAGGACATCTTCCCATCCACTGCTTGTTCGTCTTGAGTTGCCTTTTCAGTCACACCATGTAATTGACTTTGTTGCTGTGTTTGTGTTTCTTAGATTCGGATACGTTGACTATGAAGACGTAGAGTCAGCCAAGAGCGCTCTGAGCTCCATGCAGGGACAATCGATCAATGGCAGGACAATCCATATGGACTATGCTGCTGAGCGCACAGATTCCCCAGGTGGTCGTGGTATGTTCTGTTTTGTTTACTAATAGGGCAGTCTCCATCCAACTTATCCTGATTCATACTTCATGTCTCGAAAAAGTTGACTTGAGCTCAACCATTTCGCGTACGTGGAAAGTCATCGCGCGGTGGCTTTCCTGTACGCGAAATGAAGTATGAATCGGCCTATGGGAACAGTCAATATCGCTTTAGCTCCCATCTACAATGATGGTCTCTGCTTCACACTTGTCCACAATTAAGAAACTCATTGTAATGAAGTTGTGCTACTCTTGGTGCCATTGTAATTTGCCAGCATAAAGCACTGTCATTCTAGCACTTCAGCTCATGTTGGTGTTGCTCTGAGTGTGACAGTCGTCATGTCTTTGGCTACAGAAAAATCAGTTCTTTCGGGTGAGCAGCTTGAATCCTATGATAGACATGCTCAATCAGAATTGGGACATCTCCATATTGAATTGACCTTAGAATATCGAATGTCTGTGGAACCGTGCTGCAGGTTTTCGGACTTGCCGCATTGATGTTGTTCAGATAGTGGCCATTAGTGGTGCTGCTCCTGCTGCTGGTGCATGTATTGTCCTTGGGTATGCCAACAGTTGGATGTGTTTCCACGTGCCCTATCCGTGTTATGGAGTTAGGTTGTTGCTTCATTGTCTGAGAAGTTTATCCTGTTACCTTTTCTGCGTTCTTACTTGCAGGTGGTCGCGGCGGCCGTGGTGGTGGATTCGGTGGTCGCGGCGGCGGATTTGGAGGTCGTGGCGGCGGATTCGGTGGCGGTCGCGGAGGCGGATTCGGTGGTGGTCGCGGAGGCCGTGGTGGTCGTGGTGGTGGTGCACCTCCTCAGAAGAAGGGATCAATCCAGGAGTTCAAGGGAAGCAAGATGACGTTCGACGACTGATAGTAGGAGCCAGTATCTTGATTTTTATCTCTTGCAAACCAACAACCTATCACCAGCTGTGCCGAATCGATGAGGGACCGGCCATCCCAGTCAGAAATGTAGCTATGACTTTTCTAAGCTGGTTTGGGAGTGTAAATCTTTGAGGTGGACCCTTCCCTCCGGAGAACACTGCACCATGCCATCCCTGCAAGCACGGTGTTCGTGCGTCTGTGCGTGCTATGCACATGTGTGCCACATCACACCGATGGCAGTTGTGTGTATGTCTTATCATCAGTTCTACTGCTCAGTTCTACTGCGTTTGCATGTTGACCGAGATATGTCGTGCACACCACTACATGTGCTCCTTGCCTCTGTGCATACATAGGTTTGTTGGCAAGTACACATCCTTTCTGCATCTGGTGACCAGTGTAGCGGTTTGTACTAGGATTGCCAAGCCGAATCCTCTCAAGCGTTGATTTCTTACGAATTTAGGATATGGGCGAAATCAAGGCTAGACATCAGGGACTCCCTGCATACATAACCGATATGCACGTGTGCAACTCCTGCCTATGGTGCGACTACTGGGCTTCTTTTGTGACAAACATGATTGTCTACATCTACATTATGTGCATCCTGTGTATGATCAACAGTCCATAATCCCCCAGAGTGCGCAACTGGGATGGGGTGGGACGGCGTAATCCGTGATGTGAGTCGTTTTTTGGGTCAGACTTGAGTCGTTCTGTCGACGAAGTCCTCCGTGGACACACTTCCTCGTGATGTCACAGCGGGACGTGCAATGCGGATTTTGCCCTCCCAGAGTGAAGTTGACCACTCTGGGGGATTATGGACTCTTGGTAGTATGATTGATAGAATGGTCACTATTTCCCACCTTACAGTAGTCGCACGCTGAAGAACATGGAGCCCAAGAACATCCATCCTGAAATTCTAAGAGCGCCACAGCCTAAAGCTAAGAACGGCAGTGTTGGTTTTCTGGCAGCTTGTGGGATTCATATGATCCAATACGGATTGTTTCTGAGAACGTCTCGGGCTAACCCTTTGGAAACCACATTCTTTGGCGTGCGACTACTGTAGATTTTGTACCATGCCACTGGGCACTGGATGGAAGTTAATACAGGAAGTGCACACTCGTTGAGGTTATGATTGCACCCTACTAGAATTCTGGCCCCTTAGAAAAAATTGATTCCGTCCCCCGTGAATTGCGCTGCAGGATATCAGAAATTCCGTGCAGAATTCTGCGGCTGAAAACAGTAAATTCTGTGATAATTCTGCAAATCCTTCCAAATTCTGCAAGGGAAATAAGCGTAAAAACAGATTGAATTTTCGCAACCCCACCGAAGTTTGTTGTCCCTATAAATTTAGATTTCTTATCCGCGTTTTTCCGAAGGGACAGAGTCTTGACAATGTATGCAAAGCATGACTGTCTACAGTGCATTTCAAAACTATAGATGCGTAGGGTTTTTGAAATATTTCAAATTTGGCTGGAACTTTTTGAGAATAGTTTTCGGAATATTGCTCAGGATCGCTCCACAATTACTCTCATAATAGTTTCTAAAGGATTGGATAACAGACGCCCAATTTGGAAAAAATTATGCACAAAGTGATCACAGATTTTATGTGGTATAGATGCTAGCATAACGGTTTTTGCCTAGGTACGAGTCTATAGTTTTGAAATGGACTGTAATGATAAATCGGTCTATGTATTGAGAGTTGGTGTGATCTTGAGAAAGCTACAGGTAGCCCTTACCCAAATTGGTGCTCGCCCTTTTTTTTGCCCTTTTTGGAAAAGCCCGTTTCTTTCGCCCTTTATTGCGTTTTTTGGTGAATATCGCCCTTTTTGAGCTTTTTTAGATGAAAAAGTGCTAAAATCTGTTTTCTCATGCATGCGATTACAGTTTCCGAGTACTCGATGCTGACGATGGGCCTTGGCACGCCGTTTTTTTGGGGGCAACAAGTTGGTGAAGCTTGTACCCAGTGTACACAATGCTGTAAAAAGTGGGGTTTTTGAACTTTACTTCCTGTTTTGCCTTTCGTGGACCCATAAATGGAAGAGTGCGTATTCATTTTTCAGCTTGGGATCATATCTGAACATGTATCATGGCTATGCTTCACTGAAAAAAGGGCACTTTTTGCCTTTTTTCACTGAAAAAAAGCACTTTTTCAGCATATTTTGAGGGACGCGAAAAGCACTAAGTGCGAATTAAAAGAGCACCTTTGGGAAAGGGTTAGCTACAGGTGAACATGAAGACGTACAGTGCGAGACCGCATAGCCTATGCCGAGCTTACTTTACATGCTTCACCATTCGCTTGCAGTTTTCTCATGTGCAAAGCATTAGTGCAGGCATGGATTGTAGGGCTTACTTCGTGCCTTGCCAGTGCTCGGAAAACGACCAGATTGTGCTCTAGCGGATGCTCGAGAAAACAGCCAATTATGCTTTTATAATGCTTGACCAAAAAGACCAAAAGAACAGATAATTGTCATGAGAAAAGGACTCAGACCATTGTCATGATGTTGACTGGTAGCTTTGTGGAAGTACATGTACAAGACAATAATAATTATGCAAGAGGAATACCAAATTCACAAGCAAACGCTGAACTTTTGGGAGATGTCCTATAGTGTAGGCTCTGGCGGATTACTAGTATGCTCGCGAAATCATGGAATTATGCTTTCATGGATTCTCGCATTATGCTTTGGGACTCGGTGATACATATCCACTTTGTTGTACTTATGGAGCCTCAAAGTTCGGAAAATTGTGCCTTTTCCGTACTTGCAAGTGGCCATATTAAGTACAAGAAAAATTTACAAAATACATGAGTATCCCCATACCAAGGTGTCCATCCATGCTAGAGATCAACATGGAAAAGAGAAAACATTACTTCTTCTATTCATTAGTTGACTTCTTTTGTAAAAAGATTTTTTCATTGCCAAAATTAGTTTGAGTTACCTTTGAAAATAATCATCACGGTTCAACTGTCTTCGCAATCGTCACACTCGTCCAACCGATGTCAACCTCACCCTGCGATTAATCAGCTCATCTCTCCCGTTACGTCCCGTAGCTCCGCCTCTACTTTCATCATGACTGAACATCAACTATACCTAAATTTGTTTAAATTTGAGCAATATCCATAGCATGTGCAGTCATGGCTGCTAAAATCCAGACGTCATGACTTCATAACAATAACATGCATAATGTATATGTACGCGGCGTTTTGCGGACTACCCGTCGCTTTCTCGTTCGCCCGGGATACCTGATAAAGGCTGATTCACTCGCATCTTCTTCTCCATGTACTGTATCAGTGTGAGAAAGAACTTTGAAGAAGACTAGTTCGAGCATACAATAATGTATTGCCATGATTTCTACCCTGCTTTTCATTGAAAACACTATCTGCATGACCTCCGAACCCTTTACCATGCAGACCACCAGCACCAATCATGTGCATTGTACACAATTATGTAGCCTACATACTAGAACTGTAGTACAATCCGATGTAGTTATGCTCCTACCTCCGAAAGGATGCCAAATTATGCTCCAAATTTTCAACCACCAAATAATTATGCCGGCATAATCCGCCGGTGCCTACTATAGTGGCTGCTAAAATATTATTCCAAATCGACAACAAGCGCTATAAAGTATAATTATGGTCCTTCAATAGCAGGTGTGTAAAAAACAGCCTCCTTGGACATCTGGCCTTGTTTTTCGGATGCCATTTCATGCTCCTTCTAAGCGCTAAGCCTTCCAACTCGGAAGGTCAAAGAGGGGAAGGTAAGCGTATCCATATGTCCTTTTCCTTTCCACATTAATTTTAGTTTTATTCCAAGCAATACATGGCTGGGGCAGCATCTTCAATAGCAGGTGTGCATCATGTGACAGCATTGGGCATTGGACATCTGCCCTTGTTTTTTTGTTTTTATGCTCCTTCTCAAAAAGGACCAGATTATGCCAACACGCTTACCCCTACTCTTCTGCATTGCACCACTCTCCCCTGTGCAATGGCTACTCTCAGTAGCCTTTGCTTCTTTTTCTTTTTTCCTTTTCTTTTCGACTTCTTCTTACTCTTTTCCTTGCTAGCAGTGGTTGGCTATAAAAACCCTGCAATCGCCACGCAAAGTGGTTAAGGTCATTGGCTGCCCCAACCATGTATTTGCTTGGAATAAAACTAAATGTAGACAGGAAAAGGACATGCTTATCTTCCCCTCTTTGACCTTCCGAGTTGGAAGGCTTAGCGCTTTGGAGATGTGTTGGAGCCAGGGAGTAGTACACTACTCCCTGGTTGGAGCTACATGTACATGTACATGTACTTTCGGTGCTAGCTCGTTGAATGTCTCACTCACTAACTATTGGCTAGTACATATGACTCATTTTCGTTACCCTCATCTTCGCCTCCTTGAACCTTCCAAATAACTTAGTTGGAAGGCTGTTGGTTAGCGCTTCGGAGATGTGTAGGAGCAAGATGTCAAGTGGTTGAATCGCGGCCTCAGTACTCTGTCAGTGTTGTGCCTACATGTAGATAAGACTCTACAATGTAGTTGTCGCTCGTCCCTTTGTATTTCCATTTTGAACCGGGCACGAAAGTTATAGTGTCACAACATGTACCGGTGCGTGTGTGGTTTGACCGGGATAACCCTGAAAAGGCTGAAGCGAAGCCTACATGACATTGTACATGTATATTCTGGGGCGTGTTCCTGTTCCAGACCGAAAGTAAACAGCCGGAGCATTTGAAACAGCCTTGGGCAAATGGCAAATGACGGTGCCGAATCACTATAACCAAGAGTAGATTCTACATGGGGCTATGTACTCTTGCTACAGTACATGTATAACTAACTTTTACTACAAGTGCTTGAACTGAGTCACTCAGTCGCCTATCAATAATCACTGTATAAACACCACAATCATGGCGCTTTATTTACGGTCCCAAATTACGGACAACTACTTTACACCGGCACTACCTCGAGTACATAACACATGGCGTCATGGACTTCTGCTACTAATCCTTCTTTCTGAAGAACGTGTACATGTACATGTAAACATGGTAAATAAATGCAAGCCCGGCCACGCGCCAGCTTCTTATTTGCATGATTCATAATATTAATAATGAACCCTCTCACCAGACGACACCGTACCGAGAGCCCCTCACTTGATATCAAGAGCACACAAAGCATGTAGATGTACTCTTGATGTTTTGGACTGTTGCCGTGTTGGTAATGCATTATGCTTACCTGTTGTTAGCATATCAATATGTACAATGTACGTGTTATTGTTTTTCCAAGATAATTGGTAGCAGTTGCAGTAGCAATGACGTTCTTGGATTGGAGTTGCAGTTGCAAGGACTTCCTTGGCCATTGGAGCTGCAGCCGGCAACAACGACTCAGTTCAATGATCTTCCTATCTTATTACA